TTCATATTTGGGGTCCAGGCAACTTCGTCGCGCCAGTTGGTTGAAGGAAAACACAGGCCGAGCAGCGTGGAAATTCCCAGGCCTTCTAGGCCTTTCTGAAAGTATAGGCCCTGGGCGAGATTCGCAGCCTCATTCACAGACAGTTGAGAGGCCCAACCGAATGAGGCCCAGTAGCTGCACCCGAGGCGTAGCATCCTGGGGCCTACTGGAAGCTTCTCGGCCCAAGCCAGCCCAGCCAGGCTGCCGAATGAGGCAGGCTCTTTCCATATAGGAAAGAGCTCGCTGCCTGGCCAGGCATTGGGGGGCACTCGCATGCTGGCGGTAGCGCTGCTGGAGCTGGAGCTCATGGGCTGCTGCTAGCGCTGAGCGGTGAGGTGCAGGCACGTGCGGTCGTGCAGGGAGCAAGGCACTGTTGAGGGCAGCGCCATAGCCCAGCCCCCATAGCTGGCAGGGCTTGGATGTACAGTGAGGCGCAGGGGTGGTCTTGGGGTGTACAACAAAGGAAGACTTGGGAGAGAGTCAAGGGAGAGAGAAGGATGATGATGATGATGATGATGATGATGTGAGGGCACATACCTGGTATTGGCGATGGTTTTGCATGGGCGACATCTTCAAGTACTTCGGGTGCTGCTGACATCGACAGTTGCATTGTCAATTAGTCGGCTAGAAGTAGCTGTGTAGGGATTAGGGTGGGCGCCGAGCGCCAAGTAGGGAGATAGAGAATGGATACATATGTTGGTGGTGGCGAGAGCAAGCTCTTTTTGACATTGACTTTCAGTGCTACGATATTGGTGCAATGCTGCTTTCTGAACATTGTGTTATGATTTGGCTTTCAATGTGATTGTGCAATCTGATTATTGTCAATTCGCTTCTGATCATTTTCTTTGCAATTTGGTATCGGAGTTGGTTCGGACTGCGCTCATTGGTTCTTCGCAATAGCTGTTTGGCGCTTCGCATGAGTGTGGGGCAGTGATAAGGCTTGGGCGTTGAACGTAAGGCGGCCCAGGGTCGTGTGGGCACGCCAGGAAGCTATGTGGTGACATTGGGGGTGTACGTTGGATGATGAGAGGTCGTTGATGTGTCATTAAAGCCGAGGTGGAACTGCATTCTGCTGTTGGTTGTGCCGAGGCAAAGACCGGTCATCATAAATGCACATCAGGTTGCCGGTGAGAAATCTGTGGTTGGGGGCAGCATTATGAGGTACGTTGCTTCCTTTCTTATCTACCCTCTTCATTGCTTCTTACTGTGAGGAAGTGAGTTCTGTCTTGAGAGTCCTCTCAATGTGACGTGTCGCGAGCGCTCAACCTTGAGAGTCGACATTCTTCCTGGCCAGCAAGCTGGTGGGAGACGGGCGATGCCTCTTAAGGGCCCTGGACGAAGCACTCGGGTCACGGTCACCATGCCAACCCGCTGGGACTAGTACACACATGCTTTGCCGCAAGTCCTTGGTACTGCTGCTGCGCAATAGAGGTCATGCAGGGCATGCTTGCCCTTTGAACAGACGCTTACCAGACCGTCTTTAAATATTTCTAGCGGGGACTCGGTGTTGATTCTGGTTGTGATCGTCGTCGTGTCTGCGACGTTAAATAATTCCTGAGGAGTTACGGGGGATCTCCTGGATCTCCTTAAATGCCATCTGATCAGCCAGATCAAACCGGGTGCAAGGCTCATTGCATGCGAGGATAAATAATGTGCAGGGGTTGGCAGGTTCGGCGTTGACTTGGGGCACAGGGGTGGGCCGGATTGCACACCTTTAGACACGGTGCTCAATCAGATGCCTAGGAACGTCGACATAAAGTGACTACTCAAGAGGGATATAGGGAAAGGGTTGGATTTCGGTAATTGTTCGTGGTGGCATTAACTAAATAAACTGCCATCTAGCATACATCTCTACAGGGAGCATTATGTTTATTTTTGATTATTTAGTTGTTACGGACTTGACTAACAACTGACAGACAACTGCAGATAGAGTAGTATATTCTTTGTTGCAATGCCATCTGTATCAGAGTAATCTAAAAATAGATTTAATATTCCCTTTAGGATCTGACATTGGTTGATACCTAACCACCTAACTATTTCTGTCCAGGCCTACTGAAGTTAACGGTGTATCATAATCGGTTGTGTGTCATGATGAGGTAGGATTCAGTGTGGATTCTAGTTTAGATCACACACACTGTAGCTCATGAGTGATGCAAGCACTAGTGAGGAGGAGTTGTTAGTGGATGACCGTAGGACTACTCGTAGTACTGCTCTCAGTCGACCTTTGACTTTCCTAGAGTTAGGCCCAGGAGACGAAAGGAGACTGCGGAGAGAGGCTAGAGAGAGAACAACGGCAAGAAGAGCGAGGGTCACTGAGGATAATGTCAGGTCTAGGATTTCAGCTAGCACTGGTACGACCATGTCGCAAGCCACTTCATAGGCCACTTCATCAGGAGTTAGTCAGAGTGGTTCTCGGGTTTCCATTAACCAGAGTTCTGGCTTGCAAATCAGCCAGCACGCTGAACTCACGCCGAAGGATTATGAGATCCTCCAAGCAGAAGAACTTCAGGACGAGTTGCGGCAGCAGTTGGATGAAGCAGTAGAGAGGAGAAGAAGAGCAATTATGAGAAAAGCTAGACGAGGTAGTAGATTGTAGGAGCTAAGCAGATTAGAAGCATTAGATGAGTCAGTACTTGACCCTGCGGTGAGAGCGGTGCGTAACTCGCTCCTGTGTGTGGCGGAGACGTAGGTTGTTCAGCAGGAGGTGTTGGTTGAACTAGTGGCAGGCCAGAAACGAATTCTGGCCTTACTACAGGCTCCTCGTCCAGTGATGAGGCAGCCTCAATTTGCTGTAGCTCCCTCTTCGGGTGCGGGTCCATCAGTGACACCGTCGCCGGTAGGGCCTTCATTCTCACCTATGTTTGGCATGCCCCCTCCAGGTGGTTATGTAGCAACTAGTGGTCCGGTTCTTAGAGTCTCTGTCGTACCATCGACGACAATGGTAACTACAGTCCCACTGTCAAGCGAGGCCCAGGTTAGTGTGCAGCAACCTGTTTCGGTGGCTATGCAGCCACTGTAGCAAGCCCCTGGACCAATGCAGCCTATGAAGTGGATGCCCAAAATACCCTTGTTGAGTCCTAAGCCCTTCTCCGGCAACAGGAAGAAGGATCAGGATTTGGATACCTGGGTAAGGACGGTGCCTGCTTATGTGAGGCACAAACTTACTTGGCCGGAGCAAGAAGTTGTAGTGGCTGCCTCCTTTCTAGAGGGGTCAGCAGCCCGCTGGCTGAATGACCTAGTGCAGCAGCAAGGCCACGGTCAGAACTTCGATGCCTGGGCCCAGGCTCAGACATTGGAAGAGTTCGTACGGTCCGTGTATAACAGGTGGCATTACCGTCAAGGGGCTCAAAAGGCCACCGATGCAATCAACAGTCTTTGTGTCAGAAGGTACAAGAATGTTAGAGAGCTCACGGATATTGTAGAACGTCTGCTCGTGGTACCTGGCATGCGCTATGACCAGCAGGTACTCCTTACGGATTACCTTAAATGTTTGCCTTCAGAGGTTAGGACAAAGTTGGTAGACGAGGCTTATGTCGAACAACACAACTACGCTTCCTTCAGCAAGAAGGCCTTAGACATAGAGGCAAAGTTGGGATCTGCGCTTCAGAGTCAAGGAGATGGTAGGAAGAAGAGACTACCCCAGGACTGGAAGAAGAAAGGTCAACTAATGTTCGCCGACCACGATGGTCAGGCGACAAAAATTGACGACTTCCCAAACCTTGGGCAGGAGACAGAGCACGATGGGGCTAGCGAGACTTCGGATGGGGGAGTCGTGACACCCATCAAGAAAAAGGCTAGGGGGACTGGGAAAAAGAACGTAGG